ATCAGTTTTCCTTTATAATTGACAAATTATTACAAAATTAATAAATGTTCATAAAAAAAACTTAAAATAATTATATATGCATTCGTTAATGATTTCAGAATAGCGTTTCCAAACACGCTTATAATTTTCGAAACAAATTTCATACGAATTTTGATATTTAAAATTACCTATCATTTAAAATATCTTAAATAAGTTTTTCATTAATTCATCATATAAATATAAAAAATACTTACTTAGAAGACCGGAAAATCGTAATATTGTGTTTTTAACTTCAAAACGACTTTATCATAAATTAAAATCCATTAGAACTCGTTTAGAATGGCAGATTACCTCTTTTTCGTCATAACTATAAAGGTCAGTGTTGAAAATTTTTCTCACAAAACATTCAATAGCTTCTTTAGGTGGTTTCCTAAATCTGAGGAAAAGACATTTGACTTCTTCATGCCAAAGTCGAGCAAGTGGCTTTTCTACTTGTAGTGTAGATTTCGAGGGTTACACAGTCATAGTAGCCATATTTACAAAACATGAATCCAACGACGTATTTACAGCATGTGTCATTTGGTTCGCCATTGTTAAAATATTTGGCCTTTCCGTCGTTACTAGCTAATGACAAACTTCGAAAGCATTCTTCATATCACTAAACGTCCATGGTTTTCCTATAATCAATTAATTTGTTAATAAATTAATAGGTGACTTGATCTAAAGCCAATGATAATTTAATAAAATTACCTGATTTCTTATTCTTAGAACATGCGACAACTTTTTCGTCATCGTCAAGGTCCTTGTAAATGTCATAGTTTCTTCGTCTTTTATTAGATTGTGTTCTTTTTCACGTACAGTATATATCCTAATTTAATTTGCGTTAAAGTGCTATTTTTTAGTTCCTTTGTTAATTCTCTGAATATTGATTAAATAATAATAATTGCATAACATAAATATAAAGCACTTTTTATATTTACCGGTTTTCCTGCTTCTTCTATTAAATGTAATAAATCTGTTATTCTGGGAATCTCGCGGCATTAAAGTAGTTATAATAAAATAATAAAAAGAATAAAAATTTGGTTTCAAGATATATAACAAAACGGTTTTCTTTGATAATTTATAATAATTCGTATCATTACCATCATTTTAAGATCAACATCGTTATCAGCATCATCGTCATCAACATAATTGGTGTCATAATGTTATACTCAGGTGAAATAGTGATTGTGTTGAAGTTGTCAAAGTCATTAAAATTGGCAAAGTAGAAACTTGCTTTCTTTACGATTTTATTAGAAGCTTCTATAACTCCTTCATTTTCACAACCGGTGTCCTTCCCTCTTCCATGACCGCCTCTTCTGTGAACTTCTAGATATTAAATTAGCATTATTTTATATTATTTCTTGACATTATTAGGTGATTATAGAATAATTTACTAACTATAGCAGGTGTAATATCAGGTTCAGTAGAAATAGGCTCTTTGACCATGGTTTTTTCTGAATTTCCTCTACCATGACTGTGATTATCTTCTTATTATAATAAAAAAGTAAATAAAAATAAATAATTAATTAAATAAAAAATGAATGAATTCGCAATTTTATGTAAAAATTTACTTGCATCGTTTGTTTACTTTGGCGCAGTAATTTCTTGAGATTTTCGTGTCCTTGTCAATAATTATTTTTAGATATTGTAATGTAGACGAAAATTTGAAATAAAATGGAAAGTGTGAAAGGTGGTCTTTTTATAATAAATTAGATAACGATAATAAGCTTTGTTTCTTATGTAATAAAAAGTATGACGATAAAATAGTCTAAATTTAGACTTTTATTATAATTTCTATATATTTCAATAAATAAACTTTTATATAAATTTTTATATAGGTAAAGAAAGTATCAATAAATAAATTTTTTGCACAAGTTTCGATATACAACTATATATAATGAATGCTAATTTTTGTTAATAACATAAATATGAACAAGATTTTCCAAGAAAACTATTATATATATATATATATAACCATCATTTTTCAGATATTTTCACACAATTTGAGAAAACTACTTAATACTGAATAATGTTTTGTTTATTGTTAATAATGCAATATTTGTTATGCTCTTATTGTTTATATTATAACACTGATTGATTAGTTTATTGTTAACAATGTTTCACACTATTTATGTATATAGAGAATCTTATATTTTTTCTTGAATTTTGTATTTAAACTTTGTATAATTTGAGTCCTTTTTAA